CATCCAAAGAAGTGGCCAACCCCTCCGCAAAAAGCCTCGAAAGTCCAGTCTCCTCCAAATTCCAGTCCCCTAGGGCTATCCAGGGTCTGCCAAAAACATGCAAGGCTTCCGTGACCTCCTTTGCAAAAGCGCGCACTCTCGGAGGATCATCAGGAATTCCGTAACACGAAGCCAATAAAATGGGCTGGTCTGTAGCAATCGCCGTGGCGACACACCTGTGCTTATCTCCAATGTCGAGCTGTACGGTCTTTAAGGCGACTTTGGAGAGCAACGCCACGCGGTGGATGCCATTTACCGGCTCCGCCAGACGCACCTGAAATCGACGCGCCTTCCAAAACTTAACAAAAGCTGGGGCAGATGTGACATGCAGATCCACCTCCTGCAAGGCAATCAGATCGAGGTCCGATGCCAAGGAGAAAATCTCCTGTCTCTTCATGTGGCCCGAGCGGCCAACATTTAAAGTAGCACACCGGAGAGTGTGGCAGCGCGGAGAGGAGCCAGTGCTCACGAAGACCCTGAAGAAGCCCCACGCAAAACCCTCCGTGCCTCCGCAAAGATTCTGTCAAGATCCTCTTGCGGGACACCATGGTCCTGATTCTTGGCACACCACTGCTCAGTCTGTGTCAAGACCTTCAAGTGAAGTTGGAAATCAGAGCCACTTCTGGTGCGAGCGCACTTGTGGTTAGGCGCTTTACTCAGGCCCTGTCCCAACACGCTGCATCCTGTGCAAAGCCAATTGCGCGCAAGTACCAACTTGGTCTTCTTGGTTGTTCTAGTTCGCCTGAGAAGCGGCATCAACACAAACGTAAGGCCAAGCTTTGTCAACTCAGGGAGGTTGGCCGCAGCTGAAGCATTCAGATTTTCAATGCGCTTGGTGTGTCGCATGGCCGGGGTGGCCCTGTATGCATTGATCTGCTGGATCTTGTAAGCTTTCGCAGAGACTCTGGGATGCATAGCCTCGCGATGCTGTTTGGTGGCTTTGGCGAGGGTCTTAGGTGAATATGTTACACCTTTGTCCCGGACTCCAGCGTTGCAACCCACAATGGGGCACTTCCAAAGCAAACTTGCATCCTCGGGCGACACATCTTCCAAGGGAGGAGTCTTGGAATGATTTCCAATCTTCGGCATTCCAGGGTGCCAACGCCTCAGGTGGTTCTGACGAGTCTGGGAGGCCTTCAATGGCGTGGTGCCCGCAATCTCCGCATCACAATGCGGACATGGCGCAATCCAGTAGCCCATCTTTCGGATGAACGACGTGCCCCGCCTGAAGTAGTGCTGTTTCGGCGGAGGCGGAACTACATTCCCATCAAGAGGGGTACTAACCCCAACAACCGCAAGCTCAGACTCTCATCCTGTCGCTTGCTAGTGCCTGGACGCGCAGGGGCCCTAAGGCGGACACTGCTCTTGGACAAAGGCCCGCTCGGGCGTACCTTAGCAAATGGCTGTTTGATGACTGTCTTTCGGGAGCTGCGCGGCTTGGAAGAGCCCGCCGATGCAAAATCCGCCAACTTTAATGAACAGGAAGCATTGGATTGGGAATCATGCTTATGAGGCCCACTCGGCTCACCAGCAACAGGACTCAAACGGGAAGGAGAAAGGCCACCCTCCGTGGGATTCGAGGCGAAATCGTCCAAGGACGGCCCCGTCTCAGCAGCTACACCAGAATCTCCTACTCTTTGATACGATGCAGCAGCTCCTGGGGTCGAGGTAGCGTCAGACGCGAAATCACTAAGAGAACAGTGCTTTCGGCCGCCAGCATTCGAAAAACGATCACCACAGGACGAAGCGAAGTCTGAGAGGCTGACGCCGGGGCCTCCGCCACCACGCAGAGGCACTTCCTGGATTCCTCCTTGTTCATCTTGTGCTCGCTTGCGTGTACACCATTCGGTCTCCGAAGCATCGCGGAGGTGCTCATAGTGTTTTCCAGTGAACCACAAATAAATGGTTTGGGTCGCCTCAGCATTGAACAAAAACACCTCCCCACCAGGAGTGCCTACCCAAGCTCGGCAACATTCGGCTCGACAGAACACCATAAGCTCCAGTGCGCCTGCAAAGGCGCCAATCATCGAAGCCTCTTGCACGAACGCATCATAGGTGGCAGCCTCACCCTGTGGTTTACCTTGTACATTGGGCCGACCTTGTCCAATCCACATTTCTTCCCAATGAGCCCTTTCCGACTTCAACCGGGAGGTAACAAAAGCCCGTAACTGGCGGTGGCTGGTGCGTCGCCCAGTGCAAGCCTCCCAAGCCTGCGAGATGGACAAGTACAAACAGTTGCCAGCTCCCGCGTTGGGAATTACCTCTCCAGTAGGAGTCCATACCCGGAGCCTCGGCACTGCCGCCTTCTTGGACGACTGCGCCGCACTCGGTCGCTTATGTGAGGTGTCAGTGGCCGGCACAGCAGGTGCCGCGGGATCTTGCAGCGAGCCAGCAACCCCCTCCGACCCAACGACAACAGGAGCACCTGGTGGTTGATCGGTCATGTTATCGGGTTCAGTGTCATCCTGTGCTTCAAGACCATAATCGTCAGCGAAGCTACCATGCAGATCTTGACAATCGGCCCATGGCTCATCGTCCTCCTGAGTCCGCTTCCGGGTCCCAGGCTGGTACCTAATCTGCCGTTCAATTCCCAACGGTGTCTCGCGCCTGGATGGCCCCCGGCGTCTGCTTTCAAGAATCGCCTGCACCTCCTGAGGACCATCACCTGCCTCATATGTGCCCTGAACAATTTCAAGGCTGTCCTCGCGCTTGGCCTTAAAGGTGAACTGGGCTCCTGCACGACGAGTCACTTTACCTGTCAGCTCCAACTCCACAAAGCCTATGGCAGAAAGAAGGCAACTAACGTCCATGCGTGTGGCCTTTTTTGGTAGCCACCTGATACTCCAAGTCCGCGCTGGCGCCACCCATCGGGCATCACTCTCACGAACCCTGATTCCAAGCTGACGCTGACCTAAAACAATGCCATTGCTCGACTCCTCACGCACGCGGCGAAGGTATTCATGCCATCGCTCTGGTGGCTGCCAGTCTCTCCACAAAATGCGCTTAGCATGGTAATTAGGAACCCCATCACCAACGGGATCAACGAACCAAGTGGCTCCCGCCTTGGTGTGTCCTGATGCATTCAACAACAGAGTGGCGATGTTGTCATCATAGATCCGGATGAGCCCTTGTATAGAGTTCCACCCCACATGCTTCCAACCCCAGGTGTCTCCCACCTGCTCCACCTCCGGGAGGTGGGACGCAATCCATCGCCGCACAGACTGCCATGGTTTCTTGGTCAAGGCCTCCCATTCCTCAGTCGTGTAATGCCACTGCGCCGAGAGGCAAAGCACATAGCCGGCATCGCGCCGACCCGAAAGCTTGACCATCACAGGCTTCCTAGTTCGCAGAGAAGGTGGATCTTCGCCAAATGTTAAGACGATGGCTGATCTCGTGGAGATCGTGGGCCCTAGCTTACCGGGTACTCGGCACCGCATAGCCCCAGCCTGAAATTCACGAAGTTCCTCTGGCCACTCTCCGTCGTCAAGCAACCGGCCAGTCCAGACCACCGTAAGGCTGCCGCCGACCGTAGCCGCGGCCATCTCCAGAGCTTGAGTGGCTTCAGTCGCTGAGGCCACCAACACAAGTTGCGACGCCGAGTCGTCGCTATCCATAGCGCGACCCAACTCCTCAAGGGAAGACTTGGGCGAGATCGCGCTACCCTGCTTATCTTGCCAATCCTCAGACCGCAAAGACCACTCATGAGTGGTCCATCCTGCATCAGCATCCTTAGCCCGATTTCGGGTCCAACGGCGAGACGCCTTAGGCCCAGCAGCTGTATTCCACGTGGCACCATGAGAAGGGGCCGCATCGCTCCAAGCCCCTTGAGCCGTATTCTGTTTTCGAGGTCGACGCCAGGGGGCCTGAGACACATTGGGTGGTTGTTTCCACGGTGCCGGCGCTGCCGCACCCTGAGTCGACGCGGACACCGATGCACGCTGCTGTCTGGCAAAGGCAGCAAGCACAGCAGTCAAGCGTTGCGCAAGTGTGTTCGGGTCACCCGCAAGCAGACTGGCAACCTGCGCACTAAGCTCCAACGTGGCCTCGTCCGCTCATGATGGTCAAAATCCTGGAAAGAGTATGAAAACGATGACGACGATCATGCTAGTGATGTATCGTTATGACGATGGCGCCGACAACGCTCGCTCGCGATGATGATGACGACGATGACGATGATCATAATGAAAATGACCGCGATGACGATAACAGGCATGATGACGATGGTGATGATGACAGTGAAAGCCGCTGATAGCAACCGTGATGATGATGATGATGATGATGACCATGGCGATGAGGATGATGACGATGATGACGATGATGATGGTGATGGTGATGATGCTGCTGATGGTGGTGGTGGCGGCGCTCGTAGTGGAATGCTCTACTAAGAGTGCCAGTACCAAAGTCTTACAAGCAACGACTAGAAGAAGTACCTCCACTGGCACTAGTTGTACTACTACTAGCAGTACCAATACCAGTAGCAGTAGAAAAACAGCAGCCGTAGTCGTCGTAGTAGTAGCAGTAGCAGCAGTAGTAGTAGTAGTAGTAGTAGTAGTAGTAGTAGTAGTAGTAGTAGTAGTAGTAGTAGTAGTAGTAGTAGCAGTAGCAGTAGCAGTAGCAGTAGCAGTAGCAGTAGCCGTAGCGGTAGCAGTAGCGGTAGCAGTAGTGGTAGCAGTAGCAGTAACATTAGTAGCATAATCAGCAGCAGCTGCAAGATTGAACATCAATGGTCGTGAGAACCCAATTCTGTTGGTCTGAAAATGACATAGGACATAGGCTGTTGACGCGCCCCTTCGCAATGTCAACAGCACATTCTCGTAACAACAGGCTAGTCCTGACCACAAGTCTCTCGACATTCCCCACCCGCCAAACCTGTTTCTCGGGGTGTAATATACCCTCATATTTGTAGAACGAATATCAGACTAATGTTAGTTACTCTACTAATACTAAATACTTTAAGAATACTACAAAATACTATTCCACTCCCGTTGGCCTATGAAGAAGCGGATCAGCGTGTAGTTCCAGGGAGCCGTAATCGCGGCGGCCATGGCCACCCAGAAAGCCCCGAAGGACATCAAGCCGCACTGAACGTTCACCTCGGCTGCTGTTGGGGTGCTGACCGATTGTTGCGATGATTGTGATGGTTAGTAGATTAGCAAGTTCGGGAAGTGGGCCTTGTTGCCAAGTCACGGGGCCAAAGCGCTCTAGGAGCGTCCCCAAGGCTACCCTCACGAAGATGGTAGAGGCAACCGAGGCCACGCCAGCGTTCCTAGTTCATGGTTGGGATAGGATTAAAAATCTAAAAGCTTATTCCTTATGTACCCATAAAAATGTAAAAATGTTACAAAACTATGACAAAGGTTCGCTATCACCGACTTGCACTCTGTGCCTGGGGTGCACACGCACTTTGCCAGCACCTGGGGCCTGTACTTCTCCTTCTCCTCAGCGGTTGAGCCGGCGCCGCTCACCACATCTCCGGGGACGTCTTGGCAATCGATCGGTTTGCCGTTCTCCTTGACCACCCCATACTGGCAATAGCTCAGCCCACTCTTCAAGTTCTTGAACTTCAGGTAGGCTGGTCGTGTTGGGAAGTCCGTGGGAGGGAAGAGCTGGTTTTCGCACGTCCCCATGCTGGTCGCAACTTCGAGGCCTAAAGGCGCCAAGGCAAACCAGCCTTGGCGGTTTAAACAGTGCGTAACTAGGAGTTCAGATATGTGTGCACCTTAAATGTCGAAACGAGCTAAACTCAAAAGTGACAAGGTTGCAGAGTCGTAGTAAGTGTAGGAGTAAGTTCTGACGAAGCAGCCCAGGAAGGCAAGGAAGAAAGATATTGTGCTGGCCCAGAAAGCGCGCATGTGGGGATGAATCAGTGTTTGAGAAGACGACAGGGTGCCATACAAGATGCCCTAGACGCCGAAGAAGGCCACGCTCACTTCAGGCCCTGCGCATGGCGCGCATAGGCTTCCGCAATTCTTGCAACCGCCTGCAGCGTCTGCATCTCCCACTGCTTTGCAGCAGCCACCGAAGCAATCCACGCCGGACGAGAAGACCTCGCCCTCCTCGCTGCCACAGCCTGCTTGGCCGCGACATCTGCCCGATCATTGAGTCGGCGAAGGCGGTCAGGGTGACACCACTCAGGAGGCATGAAGTTCACACTCTCCTTTCCATGCGATGGTACCCAGACCATGTGGAGCTGCCAGTGCACGTGGAGGCCAGCTCGTAGGACACCAAGTCGACGCGCCAGCCCCGGAAGCTCAGAGCCACCGCCGAAGAAGACAGCGAGAGCCGCCTGACAGTCAACGGCGACCGTACAGGGTGTAGGCCTCGAAGGAGCCGGCAGACCAGCCAGGGCCTCCAGCAGAACCACCATCGCGTAGACCTCCGCCTTGAAAGGGGACTGGTCCTCGCCAGGCACGCCACCTTGGATGACCTCGTCGATGCCCTCCACAACGACCGCGAAGCCAGAGATCATGTCCTTCTCGGAGCCATCGGTGCCCACCAGCAGCGGCCCACGTTCAACGGCAGCGCTCAGCACGTCGCGCAAGTCCTCAGCAAAGCTCGAAGGGTCCAGCACAGCAGGAGGAGGCGGTACTTCAGGAGTGGTGATCGCGAAGAGTCTCTCCTGTGCACGGTCACACGGCATCCTCGGAGGTCGTAGGTGACGCAAGGCCTCACAGTTCCAGGCTAAATGAGGCCTCGAGGGAAGGCGCTTTCCGCAAACACAAACAGCACGAGGGTCCTCAGCTCTCAGTGCAGCCTTCGGGAAGTGCGACCAAACCGAGCACCCTGCAGCAAGCGCCGTCTGGAGCGACCACTTGTCGCTGGCTCCTGCGAAGGCGGCCTTATGGCCCTGAGCAAGCACGACATGATCTGCTGAAGGCTTTGGCAGGTCTAATCCTTGTGCAAGCTGGGCCTCAGAAGGCCGGTGTAGCGACTTGGCAATTCGGCTACACGTCTGCAAGGCCGATCTGGACAACTCGTACTCGATCCACTGGGCCAGCAGCTCAGTACTATCCTCACCCATCACAAAGGATCGCAATCGACCATGAGCATCCCGTCTACAGAAGCTGAGGCTACTAGGCCCGAGCCACCAGCCAAGGGTGTCCATCGCAAGCTGCACTCCAGGGAGAATGGCCGCGGCAGGGCGCAGGGCAAAGTTGACGCCGATATCCTCCAGCCAGCGGGGCTGCCTAAACTGCCATCGGATGCAAGTTCGCAAAGTAGCCAGGAGGGCCGCGCCGACCGGCTCGTGGCGCCATCCCAAAATTTGCAGAGCCAGGACATTCGGCGTATCAACAAGGGCCACTGGGTGGAACGCCCTCACCACATCGTAGCGTAGATCCCTCAGTGTCTGCAGATCATAGGCGGCGACACCAGCACACCAGGTGAGTTTAGGGATCAACATCTGCTTCAGGATGTCTCCACGAAGAGCTCCCGGGCCAGGGAGCATGCCGATGCACTTGGCAAGGAGGCGGATGGCCGCAGGCAGGTCCGGGTCCATACTGATGGCACCGCGTTGGCCAGCAACATGGATCAGACCGAGAACCTTGAGTTTGCTAGTGAGCGGGTAGCGTACCGCCTCAGCGAGATTGACGACGGCAGGGCAGAACCCTGGACCTGCACCATCAAGAGCTGCCGCCACCGCACACTTCTTCGGCTTGCACTCAAACTGCACGCAGTCGTCGAAGGCATTGCTGGCCTCGATAGCCCTCTGCAAGTCAGGCACTCGGCCTGCCCTCCCGAAGATCAGGCGATCATCAACAAAGGTGGAGACGCGGGCAAAAGGCCGCAGCACCCAGCCCCACGTGTTCATGAACAACGCACTCAGCATAGGAGAAGCCGGGCATCCCTGGAGAATGCCACGTCCAACCTTAAGCGCAGAGGCACCCTCCGAGCCCAAACGGAAGCCCTTGTAGACCAGAACCCGAGAGGCCTGGGAGTAAAAGTCCACGAGCACATCGATGAAGGCCCGAGGCGCTCCATAATGCTGAAGGGTCAGCCTCAACAACGAGTGGTCGATGCTATCGAAGAACTTCGTCAGGTCCTGAGAGACGATAACGGAGTCCGGCGTGTTCTCGAAGTCCAGCAAGGCGTGGCTGTCGATGACGCTGGAGCCGTGGACCCCACCGAAGGTGAAGTGCGTGAGCCAGCCATCCATCCAAGGCCGGAGCCGACGAAGGACAACCTTCATGATGATTCGCCACACCACCGGTGCCAGAGCGATCGGGCGGTGCTCACCTGGCTCAGCCTTATCGAGGAGGGAAACCGTGCAGCAGGACCAAGAGCGCGGCACTGTGCCATGAGCAAAGATGCCCTCACATAAACTGACCAGTCCACTCCACCATGCCGTTGGGAGCAAAAGGAGCTCCTCCGCCGTCCACTGGTCGCGTCCAGGAGCACGACGGCTCATCTGACGCGCCGCCTGCTGCAGCTCCTCCACAGTGAACGAGCAGTCCAGCGTAGCCTGAGGACATGCAGGGACCTGCCGAAGGTAAGCACGGAAGCGGGCCTCGTCCACCCCGCGAGCCATCCAACGCGCTTGCCACTCCACAGCTGCCTTGTCCAAGACACGAAGAGGGTGAAGAGCAACAGCGTGCAGCTCCTCAGAGGAAGTGATGCGCCGCGGATTGGCCTCACGAAAAGACTCCACCTTACGACGCACCCACGCAAGCCTAAAGCGTGAGGAAGAAGCCACTTTGCTGCGCCAGCGGGCCAAACGGAGAGCACGCTCCCGATCAACCTGGGCCTCAACAAGCACAGTCACCCGGGCAATCGCCGAAGGCTCGGAGAGATCAATGGTGCCAAGCTCAGGGAAGTCCCGCTGCAAGCGCTTGTGATCCCAACGCAACTTCTGTGCCAGTCGAAAAGTGTCAACTCCAGGCTGCCGCGAGGCCTGGAGCCGCCGTAAGAGACGCCTGAGGCTTCGCAACTTTGCAGTTTCAGGCTCGCGAGTGGCCTTGTGGCCCAGATCCTTCCGCCTCCGAGGAGCCGCGGAGCCAGTCCTGCTACAGGAGGAGTCAAAGTAAGAGGCCATGCACTGCTCCGCGGAGTCCGAAAGGTAACACCAGGCCTCCTGCAACGCACCCTGACGAACCAAAGCAGCGAAGTCACGAGGCTTCCAGAGAGCCTCGAAAGCCTGAGCGATGACCGCCGGGTCCTCGACATCCAAGACATTGCCAGGCGAGATGATGGTCTCCTGCTGGGCCGTGTGGATGTCCAGGTGGTACTCAAGCAACAGGTGGTTGGCAATCCCACGGCGATGGGTCAGTTTAACCGCCCAAAGACGGTGACCGGCAGCCCAATCAATGCGACGATGCCCGGTGCAGGTAGCTGGTAAAGAGAAGCAAGCCTCAAAGTCAGCGTCCAAGTCGCGAGCCAGGCCTTGAGAGAAGACCGACCAAAGCTCCTCACGAGTGGCGTTGTAATCCCCGATGGAAATCCACGGCAGGCCCACACAGGTGAGAGCTCCGAAAAGTTCCTCACAAAGCACCTTAGTAGCGGGAAGGTCCGTGGCGAAGCCATAGACGTCGACCGCCAGGAACTTAAAGTAACCATTGGCATGCGGGACCTCAATGAGCACCGCGGCGAAGCGCGTAGCATCCAAGCGGTCGTCAAGCGCAATCGGCGAGGCAGCCAGAGAGGTGAGGAGCCCCGTGCGGACCACCCTACGCTCGTCAGGCCGGGCTGCAAAGAACTTGTAGCCGAGCTTCTTCCACTCCTCACAAAACCGAGGAAGGCTGTCCATAGGAATATCCGCCTCCTGCAGCGCAAAGATGTCTGCACCTTGCATGGCCTCGAAGATGGCAGGAATCTTGGCCACCGCGCTCTTATCTACATTCATGGAGCCTATGCGGACGAACGCTCCTCTGGATCAACCTCGCGAATGGCACCATCGTAGATGGAGGTCAAGACCTGCTTGGAGATACCACTGAAGGAAGGGTTCTTGGCTCGGTGCTCCCTCAAAGCGATCTTTCTTTCCTTGCGCAAAGTAGCGGCCGCCTTGCCAGGATGCGGATTCCAAGTAGGGCATTTGTGGGCCAGCACAGCTTTGTAAGTCTTGTACACACCATTGCATCCTTCTCGCGTGCAGCGCCAGGCAGTCTTCAAGCAAAGTGCAATAGGCTTCGATGTTTTCACCAGCACTGGCCTGCGGAACACAGCAACATCAGCCTGGCCCTTCGCCCTCAGCATGTGAGCTGACGTCGTGCGGGTCACCTGCGTGAATCTATTGGCAGCATTGTCCTGAGGGGCACGGGCCTTGCACTTTTTGGCTTTCCGCCAAGCACCCATAGTGACAGAAGCATGCTTGTCCTTGCGATGTGCTGCTGCCGCCCGAGTGATAGCATGCCTGCTCGCATTGAGGCTCCGAGGGATAGCAGCATCACAAAGTGGACATTTCCAGCTTACAGGAGTCCGTGGAGTGACAGGCACCACACGCACTGGTCTCGACTGCTGTTTGGGTCGTGCAGCATGCGGGTGGCATGATTTGTAATGAGAGAAATGCCGTGTGGCAGCGTGAGCTGCAGACTTACATACCACTCTCCACGGACAAATGTCGCACTTGGCGACATAATGCCCATTCTCAAGGAAACGAGAAGGCCGCAGAACTTTGGACCCGTCCGCGTGCAAAGTGCGAAGTTCGGCTCTGGAGGGACCGCCACGCTGAGCTCCCTCCTGCTGTGGGTCCTGCAAGTCTGGGCTAAACGAGTCCTCAAAGCCAGACAGGTCCTGGTCCTGCAACGAACACGAGCTAGCAGCACCCGTAGTGAGCAAAGGCCGCGGCGTTCCCGGCTGAGTGGCGTAGTCAGAAAGACACAGTCGTTTTGTGGCAGTAGCGCCGCCAGTGAAGCTGACG